ACACAGGAATTGTAAGCATGTAAATAACATAAAGAAATAGATTAAAGAGAACCACAATGATCATATACGGATAATGACTGATAGAAAAAGGAAGGACAAAACAACAAGAAGTGTTCCCACCAAAACTCTTTGCAATATGAGATAAACAACAAGAATCACAACGAGGTACCGCCTCGTGTACAATAATAATCACAACCGAGGTACCGCCTCGTGTATATACCAAGAATCACAACTGAGGTACTGCCTCAAGTATATATCAAGAATCACAATCGAGGTACCGCCTCGTATTCACAATTTACAAACTTTCCTTATACCGGCGCGTGAGCCTTACATTTAAATAGGTTTTGAAGATATTTTTGCCTGAAATAGCTACATGCATTTTAGCCCACCTTATGATGTCTCACGTAGTTCCACCACAAGCAACACGCACATAAATCCCACCTTATACCGCTTCATGCACATTAACCCCTAGCTTTATACCGCCGTATGCGTGTCAATATCACATTACAATAACAACTCACACCACAAGTGCCATACATCATAACTTGCCAATAATCAACAATATCAATATTTTCACAACAATGGACCATTGCTCTGCCACAACGTGTACAATAATATCAACAACAACAATGAATGTAAAATGCTCAACAAGAAAATTATCTCAATAATAAAATATTTTTGCCTCAACGTGACAACGACTTTCACAACTTCAACCCCAATAACTCAAAAATGAGAGAGAGATAATGCATAACCATGATATTAGATAAGTAACTCAAAATGGAAGAGATAAAGTGTAATAATGACTTCAAATAATGAAAATCAACAATGAACGAGATAATATAAACAATAACTTCAAATAATGATAATCAACAATGAACGAGATAACATGTATAATGACATAAAATAATGATAATCAACAATGAACGAGATAACATGTATAATGACATAAAATAATGATAATCAACAATGAAGAGATAGCATGTAACAATAAAAGAGGCAACAAGTTCAACTAAAAGATGAGAGTGTTTTATCAATTAGGATGTAAAAACAAGTGTTAACGAAATCATTTAAGGCATGTAAGGCCAGACTAACACAAGTAGGAATAGATTGACTATCGCAATTCAGAACATGATATGACATTTCAATTAAAGCATGAAAAGATTCTAAGTAGCCTAAACCGGTCAAATACCATGTACGACCCGTGTACCCACTCGTCATATTGCGTATAAGGCTTTCACATAGCACAAAAGACATAATCAATCCCAAATCCTAAGGGTAGTTCTCTCACACAAATTTAGGCAAGATACTTACTTCAACTAGGCCAATTCAACCCTCGAAAATAGTTTTCCCCCTAAAATTTGCCTCCACACGGCTCAAATCTAACCAAAATTGACTTAATATCATCAAACAATGCAAGGGAAATCAATCAACAAAATTCAACCCTGGGTCCACCTGGTCAAAACCCATGTCCAGTGGTAGATTTCGACTACCCATGACCCCAAAAGTTCATGTATTTGATTAGTTTCAAAATCTGAGTCCAAATCGACTCTCAAAACTCAAATTCTTATTTTTAAAAAACTTGATGAAGTTTCACAAATGTTCACTTTGATTCACATGATGTTGATGTTAAAATCTAAGATATATTGATAGAATATGATTAAAAATAAATTAATACCACTTAATCAATGTTTGTAGATGAAATCTCATCTCCAAATCACCTCTTGTCGAGTCTAGGGTTCTAAAATGAGAGAATGAGAGCTGAAATCCCAAATTCCAGCCTTTTTGATGAATTTTTGATGCCGCAATTGCTACATGGGTTCGCAATTGCGAACCCTCGAAATTGTGAAAAATACATTGCAAATACGGCCACAGACCTTCCTAGTGGTACCTCGTAATTGCGATCAATGGGTTTGCAAATACGAACCCTTCCCCTTTCGCAAAAACGACAACTTAGTCGCAAATGCGAACTACCCGAAGTCCTAGACCACTTCGCAATTGCGAGCCTGGTATCACAATTGTGAGAATGGTAACAAAATTGTGATACCTGCGGCCCCCTGATAAGCTCGCAATTGCAAAACTGGTGTTCATAAATGCAATACCTAAAGCATCAGCACACCAGATTCTGTAATTTCAATCCAAAACATTCTGGAACATGTCGGAAACTCATCCGAGCCCTTGGGACTCCAAACCAAACATCAACACTAGTCTAAAAATATCATACAACTCACTCGCATGATCAAAACACAAAACTAACATCTAAAACTACGAATCGAACACTAAAATGCACAATAAGCCAATCAAATCAAAATTTCTCTAGAATTACAACTAAATGTCTGAACCATATCAAATCAACTCCAAATGATACCAAATTTTGCACACAAGTTTTGAATAGTTAACTAACCTATTCCAAGTTCCAAAATCAAATTCCAAACTCAATAGCTAAAAGTCAACATACAGTCAAACTTTTTAACTTCAAATTGCAAACTTTTGGCCAAAAACCATAAATCAATCTACAGACTTCCGAATTCATTTTCGGGCATACGTCCAAATCAAAAATCACGATATGAAGATATCAGAGCCATCAAAAATAGTTTCGGGGTTGTATTCACAAATTTTAAAATTTGGTCAACATTTCTATCTTAGGCCTCAAAGCCATGAAACAAAGGGTCCAAATCAATCTGAAAGCTTCTCGGGATGAAACTAACAGACCCCACAAGTCATAAAATCATAAACACATGTGTGTGAAGCATAAAAAGGGATAACGGGCTGCAATACACAAAACAACCAGTTGGGTCATTACAAACGCGAAGGCGTGGGTTCGTTGGGCATCGCGAACGCGATCACTATGTTGCGAATGCATAGGGTGAATTTGGTCAGCTATGTAGTTAGCCTTCGTGATCGCCAGAAGCCTTCCACGATCGCAAAGAAGGGGGGCCTGGGCAGACTTGAATTTATTACGAGACTTAGCTCTCTTTTATCTCATTTCCCCTTGGGTTGGAAGAATTTGGGGAGCTATTTTGAGGGTATTATCATCAAGCATTACAAGGTAAGTGAATTCTACCCACTTTCGAGTTAAATATATGGATTATGGATAGATTTAATATGGAAATTAGTAGAAATTGGGGGATTTTATCGAAAACCTAGGATTTGGTAAAATGATATTTGACCACGAAATTGGCTATGGAATTGGGAATAAATTATATATTTGAGTTCGTAACATCATGGGGAACATTTATCTTTGAAAATTTCCAAAATCTAGGCACCTGGGCCCGGGGGTGACTTTTATGGACTTTTCAAATTTAGTTGGAAACTCACTTAATAGTTAAATTATGATATTTATAGTATATATTGATTAGTTTGTACGGCTTTTGGTTAGTTTTGAATTGCTCGGCATCGTTTAAGGTCTACTAGTAAGGTATTAGAGCCGAGTAGTGAGCTTGGAAGCGAGGTAAGTCTCTTGCCTAACCCTGTAAGAGATAATTATTATGTTAGGTGTATTAATTATTGTGTGCTACTTGTTGTGGGAGCTACGTATGCATGACATAATGAGAGTTCGTACGTAGCTATATTTATGTTATGTCCGGGTAGATATAGATTCACATCATGCCTTAAATGTGTTATTTGTATTTACCATGCATATTTGATTTCCTTAATTTATGTTCTGGACTGAGGCTAGAATAAAATATTGATCGGTTCCCTTACTTTGGAAATTATAGAATATTTGATTAAACAATAGATCCATGTCTTCCGAACTCGCATGTATTTTCGCGAGTGAGATAGTTTCTCTATTTTAATGGAATCGGACCATTCGCCTCTGTAGTTTTATAAATTATTCTTATGGGATCAGACTGTTCGCCTTGGCAGTACTGTGTATCACTATTCCTATAGGGATCGGGTCATTCGTCTCGATAGACTCGTGCTTAATACTTGAGACTTGATTTGGTATTGATATCAGCTGAGTTCATGCCTTCGAGGCTGATTATGACATTTTTAGTGCTTTCATATTGATCCATGTTTGGAAATTTACTATTAAAGTTTATCTGTTTTGTTGCTACTTATTGCACTTTCTACTTTATGTATTTTGTTACTTGACCACTAGTAAGTGTCAAGGCGACCCCTCGTCATTACTTATTTGAGGTTAAACTAGATACTTACTAGGTATGCATTGATTTACATACTTATGCTACAGTTCTGCACTGATTGTCCAGGTACTATGACAGGTATTTGCAGTGGTCACACGAGCGCGTAGTTGCAGTTTCACGAAAACTTAGTGGTGAGCTGCTTGCCCTGCTTCGATCTACAGCACCTGGAGTCTCCCTCTACCTTATTTGTTATTTTTGTCTATTCTATTTTAGACATTAGCTGTAGTAGTTTTGTATATTCCCTAGATTGCTCATGCACGTTTAACATAGGGTTTTGGAGGCTTTTAGGAGATTTTCACGGTTGTACTTGTTGCTACTATCACATTACTCTATGTACTTTTCGTACGCATTATTTTTGGTAAAGTTGTGCATCTGTTTCAATGAGTTTCATATTTAGTTCCTATTTAATTAATCAAATTCTAAGTTTAAAGGCTAAATTGGATAATTAAATTGGAGGTTCATCATTGGCTTGCCTAACCACATCAATTCAAGTTGTTTTTTATAAGCACTCCGAGAAGCTGAAAAGTGAGTATCAGACGCGTTTAGAAGCATATTGATGTGGCAAGACTTCTATTGTTGTATGGATTGCCTTTTAAGGGTCATTATCAAAGTGAAGCTTCAACAAATGAAGGCCTCTTTCTAGGATTCTTACGATGGCATGGGGACAAGCATCCGGATGTGGGAAAAGTCATATTAGAAAATTCTCCACAAAATGATACGTTGACTTCCCTTATGATCCAAGAAAATATTATCAATGCTTGTGCAAAAGAAATATTAAAGGCTATAATTGGAGACTTGAATGGAGATTACTTTGGTATATTAGTTGATGAGTCCAAAAATATTTCATATAAAGAACAAATGGCTCTTGTTTTGCGTTATGTTGATGAGAATGGTGAAGTGGTAGACCGATTTGTTGGTCTTGTCCATGTTAGTGATACATCGGCATTCTCATTGAAGGAAGCAATCTACTCAGTGCTTTCGGAGCACTCACTAAGTCCATCACAAATATGTGGACAAGATTATGATGGAGCTAGTAACATGAGGGGAGAGATAAATGTTCTCAAGAGTTTGATTATGAAAGAGAGTTCATCGGCATATTACATTCATTGCTTTGAGCATCATCAATTGCAATTGACACTTGTAAATATTGCTAAAAAATATTTGGATGTTGAAGACTTCTTTTGCCATGTTACTAACGTATTGAATGTTATTGGTGGATCTTTTAAGCGCGGAGATTTGCTTCGACATCTTCAAGTTGAAAACTTAGAGCAATTACTTGAGTCTAGTGAAGTTCATACTGGGCGAGGACTAAATCAAGAACACGGGCTTCAAAGACCATGTGACACTCGTTGGGGATCACCTTTCAAAACATTAGATAATTTTATTGTTATTTTCTCATCTATTGTTCGTGTGCTTGAAGTGATTCAATATGAAGGTTCTACCTCAAATGAGAGAAATCAAGAAAAATATCTTTTGAGTGAGATAACAACATTTAAATTTATTTGTATGCTTCACTTGATGTTAAAAGTTTTGGCAATGTAAAATGAGTTGAACAAGATCCTACAAAAGAGGGATCAAGATATTAATGCCATGGAGTTTCTTAACATTATAAAAAAAATTGCAAGATATCATAGAAAGTGGATGGGAATCTTTACTAGATGATGTTTTCTCATTTTGTGTTATGCATGACATTTTGATTCCCAAGATGGATGAATCCTATTTTCCGGGAAAGTCGAAGCGCAAGTCTTCCAGTATTTGTTATTAAAACTACTTGTGTATTGATATCTTTTATGTTTTAATTGATGTGCAACTTCAAGAGCTTAATGACCATTTTGATGTAGTGAGTAGCGATTTGCTTCTCGAGATGGCTAGCTTGAATCCAACCAATTCTTTTGCTAATTTTATAAAGGTAGAATAATGACTTTAGCAAAATGTTACCTAAATGAGTTTGATGAAGTACATATTCGAGACTTGTGTTATCAACTTGATACTTTCATAGTTCATATGTGAGCTGGTAATCCCAAGTTCTCCAACTTACAAGGAATTAGTGATTTGGCAACATCATTGGTTGAGACAAATCTTGTGGAGACTTATTCGTATGTTTATTTACTTGTGAAGTTGACTCTGATTTTACCAGTAGCAACTATGGAGAGAGCATTCTCATCCATAAAGCAGATAAAGAATGAAAAACGGAATAGCATAGGTGACCAATATTTAAATAATTATTTAATTTGTTACATAGAGCGTGGTATATTCACAAATGTAAGTAATGATGTCATTATGGATTGTTTTCAAAATATGAAAACTCGTTGAGGACAATTGTAAATAGATGATGTATATTTATAATATTATTATTATTGTTGGAAGTTTTATAATTGCGTCAATTTGATATATTTATTATATTTTTTTTTTGTTTAATTGATTTGTCTATATAAATAAAAAAGATGAATAACCTGAATTGACGCCCGAGTTGATCAAATCGATTAGTTTAGCACCCAAAACCTCAAAATCCTGAATCCGCCTCTACCTAGACGATCCAACTATTGAGACTTGAGTACAAGGTGACAAGCACAAGATTTGTTAGTTGGAATTGAATTCACACCTGTCAGTTATACGTGGACGTTTTCTTTTTCTTGCAATCTTGCTCTGAGGTGTCGATGGAGGAGCTGCAAGAATTACCAGTAATCCGAACACCCAAGAAGCTGACTTGTTTTTGTACTACTTATTAATTCTTACTGCCTCACCGTGGTAGTTGCCTGTTTTTATGCTTAAGTTAATTGTTACATGGTTGAGATGAGCGCATTATGTCTGACATGATAGATATCAATTTCAATTTGTTACATAATAGGAGATTCAAATCAAATTCAAGGATGTAAAATAACTGCATCAACAGAATGTACTTTCTCCGTAATTGATTTGATTGGATTTTGCTTTACAGCTCTTATTTCTGTTTCATGGCAGGCCATAGGCTGCTGCGGCTTCACTCCCTTGCTTCTGACTTAAGAATGTACACCTAATACAAAGAACGTCTCCATTAATTCCATTCGCATAGAAGAACCCTTGCTTTACTTCATTTTCTAATTAACATCCAGTCCTTCTTGCAAAATGAAGCTCTAACACAGTTGAACAAGTTTTCACCTTATTCCGCAGTATGACTGTGTTAAGTCCTAATGATTTATATTAATTAAAGAAAACAGTGGAAGACGACAAGGAAGAAAATGCATAAGTTTATTGCAAAGCTGCTCAATATGCTCTTGAACCAGCTCTATTCCTTGATAAGTAAACACTTAACTTCTCTTTTCAATTGTTCATCTTATGGGCTTTGAGTTGAGTTGCCAACCACTTGGAATTTTACCATTAGCAACACTTCAGCAGCATTTATCATCTTTTCCAAGCAAAAACCTCTTATTTCCAACAACAACCTCTCAGCTAAACTTGCAGAACCATTTTATGAAACATGAAACAAGTTTGGGTTGCAATCCAACCAAATGAATGAGATTAAAAAAAAGGCCGAAAAAACAGTAATCACATGCTTTCACTAACTCCATCATCATCTACCATGGTTCAAAACTTGAAAAAACAATATTTTCAGGGTGTGTTTGGTACGAAGAAAAATATTTTCATGGAAAATGAGAGATTTTATTACTTACTTTTTCTTGTTTCGCTGGTGAGGGAAAAGCTTTTTTCGGAAAATATTTTATAGTGTTTGGTTAGAGAGTATAAAATATTTTCAGAAAAATAATTTTTTATTCCCCCCCCCCCCCCCCC